AGCACAAAGCAGGGCCAGCAGGATGCAAGCACAGGCTGGAACCAGGTGTATCCCAATATTTGGGAGACACCACTGTGTTCTAGTCCCTTTCCAGCTGTTATTGCACCTTGTGGACAGGGAAATGGAGTCAAGGGTGATTTGGGCTGCTTCAGATGGACCCTGAGGAGCCAGGACCCACAGACCCCTGGAGCAGCACGATGCAGGAGGACAGAGCAAGCTCCAAGGTCAGCAGACAGAAAACAGGGAAGATGGCCTGGCTGAAGTGCCCAATGTATAAAATATCCTTCCTGCAAGCACAGGATCAAGCACAAGGTCACCCCGTGGCTGGGACAGAGCCGTGACAAAGCTCCCACCTCCCACGCCCGCCAGCCCTGCTGCTGGTGGCACTTAATCCCCTGGCAGTGCCATGTGGGAAGAGCTCTGCAAATGGCATCAGGGAGGTTGGAGACAGGGAAAGGAGTGAAATTGGGCCCACCAAAAGCTGCGTTTGTTGTGGCCTCATGGGAAGGTGAAACATCTTTCTGTAACGTTGCCAGAAAGGGCTGTGGAACGAGACCAGAACCTGGGAAAGCAGCTCATAAAGGCCAATTTCTCCACCTGGTGTAACTAGACCCAGCAGTGTAGGTGATGCATGAAGCTCTGGGTTTAGCTTAATAGGGGGGAAAAAAATCATCAAAGACACTATTTAGAAAGGTTTGTGTCACTCTGATGCCTTTCCCATCACATGGGGATGTGTCAAAGGACCACGCTTAGTCCTGCCAGGGCTGAAGAGGGGCCTGGAAATGCTTATAGCAAAGCATGTGATCCATTAGACAGGGGAAAAGAAGAAGAAAATCCAGCTTGGAGATTCTGGCTCTCTCTTGCCTCTCCTGTCACCGAATTTCTCCTCCTGGAAGCAGAGTCAGTGCCCCTGATGAGGAGTGACATGGCCAGGGAGGCGAAACGCTGCGGCCAGGCCATGTCACCAGGGCCCCATCAGCTCAGCCCCACGCAGCTGGCACTGCTAAAACCTCCTGAATCAGCACCAGCTGGCTGGAAAATGAAAGCTGGGCTGTTTGCTCCGCTCCTGCACCTCCCAAAATAACCAGCAGCTTCCCTCTCCTCGCCCTCTCCGACCACACACCCCCAGCTCCCCCAGCTGGCACTGCCAGCGTGTCCAGCCTCCTGCTCCTGTGCCCCACCAGCCACCACGTTAAAGTGGCATTTTTGAAGATCACCAGGCTGCAAATGTCTGAGAAGTGTTGGAGAGCACAGCTCCCCCCTCCCAGTGCCCTGGCTCCCGTAGGGAGGTGGTGAGGTGCTGTGGGGCACGTCCAGCAAGGAGGAAAATCAGCTCAAACCACCCTCATTGTTTCCACTTTTATCTCGTCCAAAGAACAAACAGAGCATGAAAAGGTGGGCAGCACATTTCTCCAGGCTCCTCCAGAAGTCTGAGGAGCTGCAGTGAGCTGCTCAGCTCCCGCCTCTTTCTGTCCTGGGTCAGGCAGGACTCAACAGCATCCAAACCATGGAGAGGCTGAGCTCCACATGGGAGAACAACAACAAAGGGAATTGATCCATGGGGGATCTGCAGCTCCTGTCTCAGAGTCAGCCTCAGACAAAAAAAAAAATCATCCCTCTCTGCTTGCTTGCCTGCATTTATTCGTGCTCGTGGCTTTGGGAGCAGAGAAGCTCCGGTGTAAATTACTTGCACGACCTTTCCTGTTTGATGACTTTACAGCTGGCTGCTCACACCTCACATATAATTCCATTTATGCCATCCATCATTAGCACCTGCTGGAGAGCCTGGCAGCTCCTGTGGCTGCTGCTGCTGTCACCGGGGGCTGTGGCAGTGGCAGGACACAGGACGGGGTCACAGGGAGGTGGCACTGCCCTGCCCAGGCCATGGCCACGGACCTCGGGCATTCTTGGTCAGACCTGGCACAGGATTGAGTTAAATCCTTCTTTTGTCTCCTCACTTTCCACCACTTTGAACTCCGAGACTGCTGCTGAGTGTGGCAGGGTGGAAATCATTTTCCCAATTCTTTTCCCTGCCCTACGAGATCATCCTCCCGTGGGTGCCCACCACAAAGCCCTTGAAGGCCACGGCAGCTGAACTCCGCTCTGCCAGCAGCTTCTTGGTTGCGACTTCTTGCATTTCCACGTCCTCAGCAGCTGCCTCACGGCCAAAAAACCACCCAGGGCAAGACCTGGCTGGGTCATTTCTCATCTGGAGAGCCCCTCGCTCACATCCCCCCTACCCAACACACTGCAGGTGATGTGTCCCCACAATTAAAAAGCAATAAATTCCTATTAAATCCAGCGTGGTTTGTGGCACCGCTCCGTACCTCCAGGAGTCCCTAATCAGGCGTGTGCTTTATTGCTCTCAATCCCTTCTCGGCTATGCTTAATTACACTTAATTATTGTCATCCCGCTCTCTTTCTTCCAACCTCCAACCCACTAGCCCAGCAAAGCAATCCTGGGCGATACTGCTGTGCTTGTAGAGCCGAATTCCAGAGCTCCCAAGGAAGGAATGCAAACCCTTACATGGCTCTGCTCCTCTGCCAGCGGCTGGGGCTGCCTCTGCCTCGGCTTTGGAAAGCTCCTCTCAGCCTCTAAGAATGGACAGACTTAATTCGGGCAGCTATTCCATCCCCGCAGACAAAGGAAACAAGCCGGAGCACACTTAAGGAGCAATTATTTAAATCCCCCTGTCTGCGAGAGGCGGGGGAAAGATGCTGGTGCCAAAAATCCCCTCTCCCTGCGGCTCCCAACAGCCGCATCCCAAACCCTCCTGCCACTCCTTATAAGTTCAGCTTTCCCCTGATGTCTGTGTCTGCATCTGCACCCAGGAAATCGCATTTATCATTCTCTATAAACACCCGAGAGAGAGGGATGGGACCACAGGAAAAAAAAACGGTCAAGAAATACCTGTTCATTCCTGGGTTTTACACCCAAAATCCAAGCGAAGAGAGGGAAATGTTCCCCTCAGAGGGAAAGGCGTTTGGCTGCCCCAAAAAGTGTTTGCAAAGCTCATTAAGAGTAATTTGACAAGGGGAGAGGAAAGAAACCCCGAGCTGCCACCACTCGCCCCTCACCTGTGCCACGAGGAGCTGAGCTTACAAAACCCATCAGACAAATCATCCCAGCACCAGCACTCTGAGCCGGCTCGCTGATGTTTAAAGGAAATATAATTAGGGCCAAAATTCTCCTCTTTGGTTCACACAGCCCCTGCCATGGCAGGGACACCTTCCACTGTCCCAGGTGGCTCCAAGCCTGGCCTTGGGCACTTCCAGGGATCTAGGGGCAGCCACAGCTGGGCCAGGGACTGCCCACCCTCAGTGAAGAATTTTTTCCCTAATATCCAATCTAACCCTTCTCCCTTCCACTTTGAAGCTCTTCCCTCCTGTCCTATCACTATAACAATTAATAATTAATAATTATTGGAATACACCACGGGAGTAACAAACTCCAGGCTCCCCATCATGAGGGGCTGGGAACACAAACCCTGTGAGGAACCCCTGAGGGAGCTGGGGGTGCTCAGCCTGGAGAAAAGGAGACTCAGGGGTGACCTTGTCACTCTGCACAGCTCCTGAAAGGTGCCTGTGCCCAGCTGGGGCTGGGCTCTTTTTTTTCAAATTCAAAAATGACTTTGTAGAGAATCAGGCATTTACAGCACGGTGTGGCTAGAGCTGATAGGCCAAGAAGCACTTACAATGTATTGAATTAGGAAATAGTTGGCTTCTGATTGTGATGTGTGAATTATAACATCTGTATTGTCTCACCCTTCACATGAGACTGAGAATGGAATAAAAGTTTTTAAAACACCTCTCAGCTGCCCCATCTCTGGGTCAGGAAAGGACTGAATCCAACAATAAAGTTCTGGAATGTTCTGCCCGGGGAGGTGGTGCAGTCCCCATCCCTGGGTGTGTTTAACAAAGCCTGGCTGTGGCTCTGGGTGCCAGGGTGGAGTTGAGGGGTTGGGGCTGGGTTGACTCAATGATCTTTCAGGTCTCTCCCAAGCTGGTGATTCTGTGAATTCTGTGAATTCTGTGAATTCTGTGAATCCTCGTGCAGATTCAGGTTTTTACCAACATCCCTCAGCACAATTTTGCCAGGCAGAAAGACACAGGCTCAGCTTTGGTGTTGGACTCCCCAGCCCTCCACTGGCACCAAACATTATTTCCCCTCACAGCTGCTGGAGCAGCTCAGACAGCAGAATCTGGGAGACAATCCCTTATCATGTTACATCAACAAGCATTACAGAAGGGCAGATAAGCTTATTGTTTTAATCTGAGGTGCTGTGCTTGAGAAAATGTCACTCAGAGAGTCTCATGGACTCACAGCAGGCTGAACACAGAGCTACACATTTATATACATATGCCACAAAGACATCTAAATCTCTGCATATATATATTTTTTTTACTGTTTTCAGCTTGCAAACTTTTAAACAATCAGATATTTGTTGTTCACCCGCATTAAAACTAGGTAAACAATTCACTGTGCTGTCTGCACACTCTGTGTGTGTAACACACATGGTTTAATCACCCAGGTTGTAGCTGGAGACTTTTTATTGGAGCATGATTTCATCTTCAAACCATCCCAATATCCACTTGTGTACAGTAAGTTGCCCATTTATAGGTTTCTAATAAAAGCAAATCTTCCCTAAGTGGCTATTACTGGATTTCTCCTTTCAGCCTGGGGATAAGCAGGATTCTGGGCTTTAAAAAGCTCTCCAGAGGGCTGAATAAGAAAGTGACAACTGAAGAATGTCATGGCAAAACTCTGGCGTGTTCTAATTACAGCACTGTTAACGAGGGGAACATTTGTCAGAGCAGAGCTTCATCACGTTTAGCACAGACACAGAAACCTCCCACTCACACAGTGACAATTTTCTCTCCTCTCCAGGCAGATGCCACAGGAGGTGGTGTCTGCCAGCACAAGGTAAGTTCCACCATCTGGAAATATAATTATTACCTTTTCTTTTTAATCAAGGACTTCAAAGACTTTGCACACTCGATTGCTAAAGAAAATGGTGCATTTATTTTAAAAATGATCCAAAGTACAACTTCAAGAAATCTGCTCATTACATTTAGATACATAGTTTGAGGCTGACTGATTTCCAGAATGTTCCTCCACACTTACATCCACATGCACCTCCAGTATTTTCCACATTCCCCACCCTGTCACACCTCATCACAATATTCATAATAAAAAGGCAAACCTGCAGATTCTGAGCACGCTGACATTTAGCTGGAACATCTGCAATGTGTAAGAAGCCCTGAACAGGAACGTGCCTGCAGCCAGGCAGATGGAGGCTGGAAAAACCCTGAGTGCTGCATGTGGGAGCTCTGGGACAGCACAGGCTGCCCAACCCTGCCAACCCCTCTGATTTGGAATAAAAAAATCCAGAAAAATGTTCTGGAACCACAGATTTCTCCTGGTACAGAGGGAGTTACAGAGCTGGAGGCATCGGTGGTGTTTTGGAACATGAGAGCTCTCTAATGAGATGTAGGAGGTGCATTTATTTCCACAAACTGCTGATAAATAAAAATAAATAAAATATAAAAAATAAATAAAAATATATTTAAAAAAAGTGGTGTCTGTGATCTTCATGCTCTGCACAACTCTCTGACAGGAGGGGACAGCCGGGGGGATTTGGGATCTCATCCCAGGGAACAGGGACAGGAGGAGAGGGAACGGCCTCAGGCTGTGCTGGGGAGGCTCAGGTTGGACAGCAGCAGGAATTTCCTCATGGGAAGGGTTGGAAGGGGCTGCCAGGGGGGTTTGGAGTGCCCATCCCTGAGGTTTGGAGTGCCCATCCCTGGGGTTTGGAGTGCCCATCCCTGGGGTTTGGAGTGCCCATCCCTGGGGTTTGGAGTGCCCATCCCTGGAGGTGTCCCATGACTGGACACTGGTCTGGGTGACGAGGTGGGGATCAGGCACAGGTTGGAATTGCTGATCCTGGAGGGCTTTTCCAGCCTCACCATTCCAGGATCCTGTGAAGCACCAAATATAAAATCCCACTGCCCAACAGCCAAAGCTGCCAGGTGCCCACAGCTCAGAGCTTTCAGCACGTGCAGCAGCCCCAGGATTTTTCATTAAAGTCTCTGAGCAGGGTTTGTTTCCAGTCTCAGCTGCTGCTGCACCCAAGTCCCACAGATCTTTCCATATTATTTCAGCTCTCCACTTCCACAAGAGAATTAAACTTTGGCAGGCAGGGGATTTGTAGCGTTTCAGCAGAGATCTCTGGGTGCAGCATCAGCCTTTTGCTTGTGTGCCTGGGATTAGCAAGACATTGCTGAGATCATCATATATACATTTCACAGCCAGGACAGCTTTTGGTATTAAACAAGTAAAAACCCAGGAGAGCTGCAGCCTGCAGCCCTTTAGAAGGGACCCTGTGTTTGTTTGAGAGGTAGTTCTGAAGATGATCATCATTGCCAAAAAGTTCTGCAACTGCTTAAAAAGTTTTCAACTGCACAAAAACCCTAAGAGGTAAAAAAAATTTCTAAGCAATCACTCACTTTTCCACAAACATTGTATTAAATCTGTGCCATTAATCTGCTGTGAATTCTTGGTCACTGGTCAACCAGGATTGCCATTCCAGCAGGCTGGGAGGATAAAAAACACCAGTGAGGAGTGTCTGTGCTACCCAGAAAATCTCTAGATTTAGGTTTGGGTCTTTCAGATGTGCTGCTCATGCACTGTCATTGATTTATATAAAAATATTGCTGAGCCAAGGAGCTGGAACTGCAGGCAATGAACAGTTGTTATTTGCACCTCTCACAGGGCAGTAAAACACTCTAAGGAGCATTTTACAAGTGTGGGTGACTTTTAGAAATGCAGAAATGCCTGATTTGCTGCAAACACAAGAGATTTGCATGTGTTCCGAGGAGAACACGACTGAGGTGCCAGAGCTGGCAGCTCAACAAAGCAAAGCTGCCTCAAAAATAAAAACTGCTCTTTATCCATTCACTGTTAATTTTAGGCTACTTCCAACATCCTCAGCAGTAGCACAGCTGATGATGTGATGGTTTCTGGTGATTTCAGAGCTCACCAGGGTTTGGCTTTCCCAAAAACAAGCGTGACTTTGAGGTTTGGCCATATCTGGCGAGCACAGCCAGCGAGGCCGTGACCGCCCCTGATAAATGACAGTGACACAGCCCAGGGTCCCCACGCGGGGCTTGGACAACTCCTGCTCCAATTCCCAGGGAACTCAACCACTCCAGGGGCTGCAGGGATGATTCCTCAGAGGATATTTATTGCCTCACCTGGAGGGCTCTCCCATTTTGGGAATTCTGCATCAAACAATTCACCAAAAGCAAATGTTTTATGAAGAAATTGGGGATTAGTGATTGGAAACAAGACCCCAATATTCTCAGCTGTGTTTCCTGGGTTAGGAAGAAATTTCCAGCCCAGTAAATATTTGCTGAGGCTGCTTTTCCTTCTCACCCAAATTCGCAATTCACTTAACTACATATTTGATTTTCAAATATGACAGTACCAAGTAAGTAAAAGCAAGTCTTAAACAAACACCTCGTGCAGTCAGAACAGTCAGGGCATGCTGAACACATTTTCTAGATGAAAAGCCATGGGTTTGCCAGTTAATTGGTTTATCTGCAGCTTCACAGCCCCAGCCTTAAGCAAAATTACTCACTGTGCACCAAAGGTTGCCACAGGGGGAGTTCCCTCACAGTCATTTCTTCCCACAAGTCACAGAATTATCAGCATTATTCTACACTTTTCATAGACAAAATGGTTTTGAACACCTGCTGTGTGTTCCTGAGCCCTGCTTGTGAGCTCCCAGCACACCACCACTGCTCCTTCTGCCAGGCTCCAGCACATCATCACCTTATCTTCTCTATAAAATCCTTTTCTATGCATCATTCCTACCAAGCTATTGCTCCTGAAAGGTTCCTTTCTGCTCTCTCACCTGGTGTGCTTTGTTAAAAAGAAATGTAAAGGGCAGAAGATTTCTGGCTTCAGAAAACGTGCCAGATCTCTTAGAGATTGGAAATCAGTGGTATCTTCTGCTGCTTCCCTCCAGAATCCACTTCCCTAGTTCTTCATTTCAATAAAACTTCACTCAGCCTAGCAGAATAAAACCTACCAGCCCTGTGTTGTTGTAAGTGACCCATGGCAGCCCATCCATGCTGGATAAGGGACAGAATGTTATTTTATTATCATTACTAAGCTCACTGAATTGACACAAAACAAAACAACTCAGAAAAGCTCCACACACGAGAGTCTGGAAACCTCAGCTTGAAGTCTTTTGGAGCTTTGTCTGAGTCTCTTTGAGGTTTTCTGCAGACCCAGTGCTATAATGACCCCGAGGGGCCAGAGCAGCTCCATCTCCTCAGGGGAAGGGTCTCCTACTGAACATTTGCTCACCTCATCTTTAAAATCACCCTGGTGACTCCTCTGTTTACATATTGAGTCTCCTTCCTTTAGCATTCAAAACCTGCTGCAGAGAAAGTCCTTACATTTAAAACCTTCTGTTCATAAAAGCTCCAAATTGCATTTAAAGTCCTGTTCAGGCACCTGGCAAGGGATCAGATGGTTTTGGAGATGGACTCGGGCCATGAGGCTGCAAGAAGGAACAACCCCAACAAGCTGTGCTGTGGCTGTGACAGCTCACACCACCCTGGCATGTTCTGGGAAGATAAAGGAAGAGGAAATACAAGCTCAAGGAGTTCAAAAATGAGAACATGTAGGCACCCAAAGGCCTGAAGGAAGGCAATTAGAAACAAAGCAGCTCTTCCCAGAAAATATTTCCATTTGGATCCGCCAGTTCTTGCACCTTATCAGTCTTTCCTGGTTATGTTTCCAGAGATTTTGTTGAGATTTCAGAGCACACTCCCAATTATTAATGTGTGTTTCCCCCCCTCCCTCATTTTCCAGTCACAGCCCTTAGCCTGAAAAAGTTCTACTTGTCTGACAGGGGTGGCATGTTTGCATTTTTATTAAAAGAGCTTCATGTAATTCAACTGAATTCACTCTACACAAAGAGATAATTTTTTGCAATTACCAGAATCTCAAACATGGATATAAACCAGCTCTTGAAGTTCAACATTTTTGTTTTAGAAACACAGAAAAAACAAAGACACACATCTGGCAGAACTGATGATGGAAATCCGAGCTCCAAAGAAACAGATAATTCAATCATTACCTGAACAAACTGGCTCACACTTGTGATGGACCAGGCCTGATCCCAAATTCCCCTACAAGCTTTCCATAGATTTTTAGGGGGAAATAGCAAGTGTTACAGAAATTAGTAGCTTCATTTACACATATCCTGTGTTTCATGGCATTTCTATGCTGCTTTGAAATCTTACCATCTGAGTATTTTCTTTTCCAATAACAAATTCCTTTGGTGTCTACATCCCATCACAGTTTTTAATATCCAGGATAGTTAAGGGAAAAGCAATGCAGAGGAATAAAATTCTTCAAACTTAAGCAATTTGCAAGTAAGTTCCTAATGCATTACGTTAATGCATTTGTGCTTTTGACAAGAGATTTAAAAACTTTCCCCTGGAACAGAAAGAATTCAGCTAGAGATAACAGAAAACACAGAGTTTAAATCAAGTTCCTTTCCTGCCTTAAGCAAAAGAACCTGTTGAACCATGATAAATGGTTTGATTTCTAAATGAGCGTTTTTAAACAGCACATCAGCCAAACTGTCTCTGTACTCCCCAGCTGAGCTGAACCCTCAGCAGTGGAATATGCACCAGGTGTGAGTGAAGTAACTGGATAAAATCAGCCCTTTAATGTGCACGTGTGTGACTGATCTTCCAATATTCCAGGCTGAGCCCCTACCAAAAAGTAAATCCATTAAAACCCCCTGCATTTAATTTCCTCCCACAGCATGAGCAGACAGCTAACACACACAGGGTGTATCCTGGGAACCCACCACTGCCCACTCCCCACTAGCTGACCAGTTTGGGGAGCACAGTACACAGAGGGATGTTGCCACTGGGCTCAGTGGCCAGACTGGCCCTCAGCTTGTTGGGAACTGCAGCCACGGGAGGCAATTTGTTAGCAATTCCTTGGAAGGAACCTGAATAGCTGGAGATCCTCCTGCTGGAGCTTTTCTCCAAGCCGGCCGCTTTGGACACCCGTTTGCAGATCCAGGGGTGCCGCAGGGCCTGGCTGGGAATCATTCGTGTGGAAGGATCCCAGCTGAGGCAGTTCTTCAGGAAACCAGTGAACAAGGGGTCGTCACAGCCCTTCAGAGCTGTCACCCAGTCCTTGTTCCCCGGGGCACCCCGGAGCTTGCCCCGGCGCGAGCGGCTCCCGCTCAGGGTCACCTTCCCGTCCGGCTGCGTCACCACCGTGCAGTAACGCGGGTGACCCTTGGAGTTGATGAAGTTCTTGGCTCGCTTGGATTGTTCCAAAAGCTTCTGAGGTGGCATTCCAAGAAGTTCCATGATACAGGCC